AAAATAATTTATAGCAAAAGACAAGCTTAAAATATCTGAAATATTTTATTTATATTTTTAATGTGAACTTTGCAAAATTAGGAAAATAAAATAAAAAAATTCTGCAGTAATTTATCATGAAAAAAAATTATATAATTTGATAAAAATTATATAATTTGATAAAAAATTTTTTTTTAGATTTCTCATCAAAATTTTCATAATGACATCATTTACTAAAACTCTTTGGAATTTTAATGCGGTTAAATAAATTATTAAGTCTGTAGATTTAATTCGGCATATATTTTAAAAACTTTGAGACTGTCTAATATGGAGATGGTGAGCATAGAGTAAAATAACAAAGTTTTTTTTTCTTGGTACGCCTTTATTATTTTGTTTTACTTAAAAAAATTCTGCCCAAACATTTTTTTTATCATTCTCTTTAATATGAACACAACTTGTCTTGGCACTTTAGGATATTTTTAACAGTGGTATAATGCACACGCATAATCTGCCTAATGGATTTTTTGGTTCACTCTTTTGAGGCCACCAAAGAGCCCTAAATTATAACTTACTTAGTAAAGCTCATTGCTTGTGATGCCATGGTCTATAAATTGGTCAAGTACTGTTTACTTAAAGCATGACAAAAGTTAACAGAAATGTTACACATGAAAAACCATTACCCACTACCTAACTGTTTCAATATATCTTTTACAAACATTTGCGGCCTCCGAAATAACTTTCCATCAGTTTCCATCTTATCTCTTGCAAAGTTTTATATATTTCATTGAAAATTTAATGGAGGATTTTATTGAGACTACACGGAGGATTTTAGTGTGACTAAGTGGAGGATTTTAGTGAGACTGTGGAAGATTTTAGTGTGACTAGGTAAAGATTTTATTCAGACTACACACAGGATTTTAGTGAGACTGCGGAGAATTTTAGTGAGACTACATGGTCGGATTTTAGTGAGGCTATGTGGAGGATTTCAATGAGATTACTTGGAGGATTTAGATTCATACATACATTATGAGACTCATCATGCGATACAAAACATTGATGAATGAGATTAAAACTATTGATTTCATTACAAATGAAAATGAATTGTTTGTGCAGAACTCATTTATTCATGATCATCCATTCACTTTCATCCTTGCAATTTGTCAATTTTGTGACTTTTGTCATCGGCTCTTAGAGCCGATGACAAAATGAGCCTTCTATTGTTTTGACTTGCTTGTTTTGACTTGCTTGCTCTTTTTGCAACTTTGGCTGTAAAATCTTTGGATCTCAGAATTTTATTTTAATTCATAATGTCTCCAACAGTCACATGCTTGACTTAGTCATATACTTACCGGCTTGGACAGGAATAGCATGCGATTGCACTCTGTAACTGACCACGCTTATAGTTTTTTTTCTTTACAAATAGGCCACGGCTGTTTTTATGTTTTAACACTTTAAATCAATAAAAATTGTTATTTAATGTAAAATAACTTTTAATTGCTTATCTTTTTAAAGGTTTTTATTTTATGCAAAGGCTTTAAATTAAAATAAAAAATTATTTATAAGGATTGTTTAAAATAAACACATTTATTGTAAAATAATTTTTTTTTTGTAGAGAATTGTTTACTTTTTTCTTTTGTATTTTAAATTTTTTCCCTAGTTAAAGTTTATCTTAGTGTTTTTTCTTCAGCGAATTTCTGAAATCAATACAATTAAACAGTTGTGGTCAAGTTATCAACAAAAAAAATTATTTGCGTAGTCAGCAATAGTGTTCGATTGCGTGCCATTCCTTTCCAATCCTGTACTTACAGATCAATTCATCTGTTTGCTGGAAAATCAAATTTTAGTCTTCTGGTTTTTCATGTTTTTCTGTAACACCGCTGACGTTGCGTGAACTTATGCGCATATCCTCTTTGTATCAATCTCTAACTCAGATAGTTTACTCGTTTTTCAGGCAACCCAAATCACTTACTTAATTTCTTGATTTGTGTCTTATCTATTATATGCGGTAGTGGTGTACTGGTAGAGCGCTCGCTTCATAAGCAAGAGGTTCCGAGTTCAATCCCCACCATGTCCCTGGTAGTACCGCACTCAACTCGTTTCTCTGCGCAGCGGCCTTTTTCGTCAAGGTTCGTGTTTCGGAGTTATAGAGTTGAGAGAGGCTTATATAACCACAAATAAGTAGCCTCCTAGTCTGTAGTGGCCTTGAGGAGGTGAATTTATAAAAAAAAAAAAAAAAAAAAATCTCTTACCATGGCTTGTATTCATTTCTCCTTGTTCTCCTTTTATTAAGGTTTTGATCATGCAGTTATTTCTTTAATTCATTTTTCTCATACTTTTTTTTTGGACTCACCCTTTATTTGCATTTCTTAAAGGCCCTAAAGCTGAGTGGGATTCTTTTTGTGATTTTTTTTTGTCTTTTTCGTAATAAATGTGCTTTCTATGCAACTTCCTGTATCCAGGCAGGTATTGAAGCTTTTATTCCTTCTTATCAGTTTCAAGCCAAGTCTCGTTCCATGGTTTTCACCTTCTTGTGTAACTGTTATATCAAATCTTAATCATTTTTTTTATCTTTTTCACAAGAACTCTGTTGAGAATGAACACCATTTTTTTATTGTAAATCAATTTATGAATCAAATTTCAGATGCTAAGCTTTATTATTTCCCATTTACTAAATCTGGTATCTTATTTCAAGTTAGGCTCTAGAGAAAAATCTTTGAAAGGGTCATTAACCAAGGTAAGTTCAACATTCTAATTCATCGGTCTGATCTTATTTTCTCTCCCAAGTATAAAAGTTATTTTTTCGCAAAGTACTTTTTTCTGAATTCTCTTCCATTCCTTTTATGTAATAATTGTTTAACTAAATCTTGTTTTTTTACCTGCTGGTAAATGACATTTGTGGTTACAATTTTAATATACTCTAAAATATTCTGATCTCTTTAACTATCATCCAATGAATCATTTCACTATTATTAGCAAGAACTTTGAGTCATTAATCAACATGTTTCTATCTCACCTTAAATCTAAAAACTCATCAATCATTACAGATTTTGAACTTCTTGTTCTATGGCTGAGTTGATAACTGCTGTAACTTTAAAATTCTGTTGAAGTACTGTCAATATTTTATATTTATAAATGACAACCTTCTCACTAGGTCCTCTTTTTTACATCTTCTTAGATAATCACTTACTACTGACCTCTTATCCTCTTATGGATATAAATATATAAAAAACCACTACAAAGTTGGTTCTTGTATGGAGTATTGTTGTTATAATTCGGGTTGTACTTCTGATGATGCTCTTTTTCTTCTAGTCAAGTTACAAAAATGCATTGTAAATGTAGTTGGACCTGCTTTATCTGTCAAGTTTGAGCCATTCTCCCATCATCATAAGGTTGCATCTTTTTTTATTTCTAAAAATACTATTATAGTCACTGCTTAAAGTACCTATTATCTCTAGTTCCATCAAAACTCAATCTTCATTGACTCATCATTCAGCAAAGTTGCATCCTATTACTGTTACTGTTCCTTTATGCCCTAAAACCTTTTTTTCATCTACATTTTCCCCTTGCACTTATATGATTTGGAACTCTCTCCCAAATTTATGTTTTTCTGGCTTAAACAACCTACAACTCTATAAGTCTTCTGCCAACTGCTTACTTGCTCCTTCACACTATATTTTGTTTTCTAGTAACCCCCAACTTATCAGTGGTTGCTTGCAGCCTTAATAGGAGTGAATTATTAAAATAAAAAACAATATTGTTTTAAAAAGACATTTTATCAAAAAAATATTAGGGTTAATTTTTGAGTTTTTATTAGTTAATAAAAGGCTTATACCTATGTTAATTAAAAATAAGTTTAGTTATAAACAAAATTTATTTAAGTGTATTTCTTTGTGTAAAATGGGTATTTCTGATTATTTCAAAGGGATGATAATAATAATACTTAAATAGATAAACTTTTTGGTTCCATCGCCATGTTGTATTTTTCATGTAATTTAATATTATACTTATACAAAAAGTGGCTGTGTATCTAATTTTGATACAAGAAACATTGTTTAGATATTTCAAGCTTTTTAGGCTTAATTGCCTGAAATAGCTTGCTGCCAGGGGCAGTTATGCATACATTGACTATCTTAAAGCCTGTTGCCACAAGGGAGTGTTGCTACATGGACTGAGGGTTTGGCATGGCGCAACAATCTTTTTTTAATTGTTTTATTTATTTATTTTTCTGAAATTGTTGTATCAGGCCTTGTTTTAAAGCGTAAACTGGTAAGCACTAAGTCATTTAACGTTTGCAATAAGCCATTTTAGGTTAACCATTAATTATTACAATGAGAAAAGTGTTCACATTTTGCGGTCCCACCCCTGTATATATAGTTCTTCGTGAGTTTTTGGCCAAAAACTCTACCCATGTTGCTCCACAACCACCGTATTCGCCCGACTTAGCACCGTGTGACTTCTGGCTGTTTCCAAAGCTCAAGAGACCACTCCGGGAAAATCGTTTTGAGTCCATTGAAGAGATCCAACGTGAATCGGCACGCGCATTGAAGGCTATCCCTACCGAGGACTTTTCGGCATGCTTCGAAGACTGGAAAAAACGTTGGCAAAAGTGCATTGGGGCCGGGGGAGATTATTTTGAGGGGGACGATACAGATTTGGAAGAATAAATAAAGATTTTTCATTTTATAAAAAAATTCACCTTACTTTTTGATCACAGTAGTATATATATATATATATATGTATATATACTGCCAACCTGAAAGTGTTTGAGGTAGGCAAAAAATTACCGACCTATATCAAATAATTTTTGCTAACCTGCTGCCAACCTCAGAAAGATTAAGGTTGGCAAATTATTGTCAGCCTCATTTTTCCTAATTCTAAGGGTTGTATATAGATAAAACCCTTGTAATTGGCTTATAATTTTTTTATATTCATTTATTTCTATAAGTTTTACAACAATTATGAAAAAAAACTTTTTATGTTTCAAGTAATATTGTAACTTGAGTTATTTATTTTATTTTTAGTTAAATATCCGCCTCCAACTTATCTGTCAGTCTTAAAAGTTTCATCAGATTCAGCTGTTATTGAAGTTGTTTTACCAACAAATGATCTAGACTCTACAATTGTTACAGATTTTAAAATAAAATGTGTGCATATGACTACTTTTATAACATTTTTCGAAAGTTCTCATAAAATAATGGACTACATAAAAAGTTATAGAAAAATAATTATTGCGAATCTGACTGAGTTTACAAACTATTCTCTGTTTGTTGCAACGGGTAATGGAAAAGAATTTGGTTCATACAAGAATATTTCATTTCAAACAAAAGGTTTGACATGATTTTTTTCTGTTACTTATCCTTTGTTAAATTTTTAATACTTAAGTAAACCTGAAAAATATTTTTTATTCAAAAAAAATAAAACAAAGTTGTTTTTTGAATAGTTAAGTATCCATCTCCAACTTCTTTGTCAGTATATAAAATATCACTGGATACAGTTATTATTGGAGTTGTTTTACCAAGTGATATGGAGCCAACAGTTGTTACAACATTGAAAGTAAAGTTTTCTTCAGTCGCTGCATCTTTTGAAAATCTTTATGACATTAAAGATTATCAGTTGAAAAATATAACTTACCTGTTGAAAAATTTGGTTGAATTTACTGATTATGATGTTTTGGTGTCTACTGGGAATGGTACAGTTTTTGGCGTTGATAAAAAAATTTCTTTTCAAACCAAAGGTAATTTGCAAATGTTTTAAAACTTGAGTTGTTTTATGCACAAAAAAAAGTTTATTTTTAATCTAGTTTTTGTTGCTCAACTTTTATTTTTTTTGATGCAGTTGTTTAGTTGTCAGCAAAAAGTTATAAATATTAAATTATAAATGTTTTTAATTAAACTAAATAAAAATTAATTTTCTTTTAACTAAAAAGTTTTCTTGTTGAAATCTTTGAGCTATTTTGATTTTTAATATCAATATATGTTAGTATGATTAAAAGTGTGTTAGTATGTTTAGAAGTTTTAAAAAGAGGTTATAAATAATATTATAAATAATGTTAGTATGTTTAGAAGTTTTAAAAATAGGTTATAAATAATATGATAAATAATGTTAGCATGTTTAGAAGTTTTAAAAATAGGTTATAAATAATATTATAAATAATGTTAGTATGTTTAGAAGTTTTAAAAATAGGTTATAAATAATATTATAAATAATGTTTGTATGTTTAGAAGTTTTAAAAATAGGTTATAAATAATATTATAAATAATGTTAGTATGTTTAGAAGTTTTAAAAATAGGTTATAAATAATATTATAAATAATGTTTGTATGTTTAGAAGTTTTAAAAATAGGTTATAAATAATATTATAAATAATGTTAGTATGTTTAGAAGTTTTAAAAATAGGTTATAAATAATATTATAAATAATGTTTGTATGTTTAGAAGTTTTAAAAATAGGTTATAAATAATATTATAAATAATGTTAGTATGTTTAGAAGTTTTAAAAACTATATTAAATAAACTTTTTAAATTTTTTTTTTAAATTAAACTTTTTCCAATTTAGCACGACCTTTCATTTTATATTGTAAGAATGAAAAATATAGAGGAGTCACCTGGCCAACAATTCCTTCTGGAAGAACTATATCATTAAGTTGTCCTAGAAATTCAAAAGGTACTTAAGTTTAAATATGATTTAATTTCTTTCATTTTCTTTTTTTTTTTTTTGTCAATCTCTATATATTATTGCTTAACCTAATCCTTTAGTAGTGTTAGTAGTGTCCATTCGAGCGTGTTTGACACAAAATTCCTGGCAGCCATTGCAACCCAGGTAGTGGCGAGAAAGCGTCGCAGTACATTTTGTTGTAAGAAAACGTAAGCAAAACATAATCTAACGTAAACTTTAGATTAAGTAATGTTAATAAATCACTTTTCACTTGAAAATTGAATTGTGAATCACTCGTTTATGAAGCAAGCACTCTACCACTACACCACTACCGAATTGCATCAAGCTCTTCTTAATTTCTATAACATTTATTTCTGTTAAAAGAATCATATAGTTTTTTTGCTACATTTATTTTTTTACTATAAGTTTATACTACAGCCGTTTTTTGAAACACCTTAATATGCTTATTGCGTATTTCGAGAAAAACGCAATTAAAAAAAGTTATTAGGAGAAACTCTTTGTAAAACGTTTTTTGAAATGAATAATATTTATGAAATGTTTCAGAACTCTTTGAAAATATATAACCAATAACGTTTGTGGACATCTAAACAAGCTTATTTTATAAAAAAGTCAAAATTGATTTTTTTTACTTTAAGGTGTTTCAAAAAAACAGCTGCAGTATGGATGATAGAATGAATATGTTGAAATGAGATAATTTGACATAAAATTCAAAACCTTTTAACAAAAACTACTAAACCAAAAAAATTAAAAGTAACTGCAGTTCAGTGCACTTATAAATTTTAAGTATATTAAATGGGTGTTTGCAAAGAAACATAATATAAATCATTTTTAATATAAAACTAGTTTTTTTAAAACTTTGTTGTCTAGGCAGGTTTGGCGTTTAACCATCCCTATATAAATAGTATATATATAAACAAATATGTTAACTGTTTATGCATATTGTTTATAATATGTAAAAAATCGACTTATATAATTTTTTATTCAGGATTGTATCTACTATAAGTAAATTTTTCTAATAATTACAAGTCTTTTTGGCTCAAGCTGTTTTGATTTTTTGTACGTATGTTATTATATTTTAAAAAATTGACAAGATTAAAAAAAACGCGAAGTATATTGTTGGATCCAAGTGGAAAGTTTGAAACTTTAATTTTAGTTTGGTCCTTCTTTTAATAATTTCTAATTGATAAAATTATGTCATCTATTTCTTAGACAATTAAAAATGATAGACAGCGCTTTTTTGTATAAAAAATTTTTTTTGCATATGTGACGTCACTTTGTGGCAAAAAACTAGAAAAACAACTAGAAAAAAGATTTTATTTAAATTTTTTAAAAAAACTCCTATTAAAAATATATGGAATATATTTTTATGGGATATATTCTAATAAAGAGAAAAACTATTTATTTATTACTGTTTTAATATATACAATCTCTTTTCTGTGAAATGATATATCTGTACCAGTTTTATATATTTTTATGCAATAGCATGCAACATGATTAAAATTAATCTAAAAATGTAAGATAAATGCATAAGGAAACTTGACGCATTTTTATTTTTTCACAAACCAACAATGTGCAAATGTTTTTCACTTAACTTTTAGATTAGCATTAAACAGCCGAGGCTATTATTCTGTAGTTTTTAATTATAATTATAAGCATGAACTTTTTTTTATGACAATGTTTTAGTGGTCTAAGATTTTCTTAGTTCTATTTGTATAGCTATATGTACCATAGTCTGTAAGTCTTTACTACTTGTTGAGTCTAGAGGCATAATATAGATATAATAACCTATAATATATCTATAAAATCAGAAAACTTTAAAATTTTATTTTAAATGTTAGAAATCTAATTTTGCTATAAATATATAAGGAAGATAGAAAAAATTTCAAAATTTATTACGCTGAGGGGAGGTCTTAAACCCCCCAAAACAAAACTGATGGCAGCGCGTTTAACCACTGAACTATCAATGAAATGCATTTAGCAGAAAAACAAACCTAATTATAAGTCTCTTATAAGCTCTAAGTATTAGTCTCTTAGTAGCCTTGTAAAAAGGTACACAGAGGTGTTTTTTTATGAAATAGTTATACCATATTAAAAAAACTTATCATGCGAATTCAGTAAAAATACCTTGGTTTTATTACAATTTGTAGTTAGTTAATAAAATTATAACTAAAAGCAGTAAATATTACATTAAATAATAAATAACACAAATAGTACTAATAAAACTTTTAGGACTTTTTTAAATTTTTCTAGGGCTTAATTTGTATTAAGTAACATCATTTGTACCAAATTTTTGTTGGAGAAAAAATGATTTTTTTTGTGAGTCATATTTTTGCTTACCTTGTTTAAAATTGTGGGTCATATTACCTTGTTTAAAATTTTGTGGGTCATGTTTTTGCTTACCTTATTTAAAATTGTATTATACTCTTGTGTCTTGAATAAAAGTTTTCACTTTTTGATCCCTTAGAACAGGCAGCTAATTTTGAAATCGATCTCACTACTGTATCACAGTAGCTTTAGAATTTTAACTCCAACTATTTACTGCAAACAAGTATCACAATGATTTTGATATTGCTATATTGATGAATATTCTTTCACTACTCTTCTTTCACTACTCTTCTACTGTCCTCTTCTTTAGGTCTTCTCAGATAACCATTCACTACTGACCTCTCATGAAAACTTTATTTACAATCTGTTGCATAGTCAACATCTGTTTTGATCTGTTGTCAACATCAAGGGCTTTCTTTATCGTACTCACTATTTCTTTACTCTTGGTTCTCTACTTCTACAAATCTCTTATTTGTTCGTGTATGGAAAACTCATATCATATTTTGGAAAACTCATATCATATTTTGGCTGCTTGCTCTAATGATCCTCTTTTCTCTTCAAGACCCAAAAATGTATTGTAAATGTAGCTGACCCTGAAGGTGTCTTTCAAGCCTGAGCAACTGTTCCATTTTTTGTAAAATTGCATCTTTTTCTTTTTTCTAAAAATACTATCAATGAGCTATTATCTCTAGTTCTATCAACCAAAACTCATTCTTGCTTGACTCCTCACTTAGCAAAGTCAAATCCTAATACTGTATCTTCACCTTTATGCCCTATAAGCTTTCAATTATCTAATTTCTTTCCTCACGCATCAATGCTTTTAAACTCTCTCTTGTCTCTCAATTTACTGTTTTTAAAATTTTCTATCAACGTTTTCTTGCTCTTTAACAATATTATTTGTTTTTCAGTAACTCCCAGCTTAAATAGTTTTTACTTTCAGCCTTGTTAGGAAAATGTTTTCAAAAGTTTCAAAACTAAAATGTAAACTAAAAGTTTCAAAACTAAAATGTAAGCTCATTATTTCAACCTTACAGGTTATGACTTGAAATAGCTTTATCACTCTAATAACTTTTAACTAGTTTGCAAATTTCTAATGGTCTACAGTAGTGGTCAAAATATTAAATAATTTTTTTTAATTTTTCAACTTATTGATTTCTGTTGTTAAAATTATTTTATTTTTATTTTTGAAGATATTTTAATTTTTTTTTACACTGTCAGGTTGCCTTAGGAGTGATATTATGAGTAGATTGGTTCTGATAGCTTCATATTATGAAGTGATTCTGATAGCATGATATTGTGAAGTGTGATTCTGATAGCTTTGTTAAAGATAAACTAAGTGCACTTTTTTCAGAGGTTTATTCTCTAAAAAATATATCAAAACAATTAAATGTGTCGAGATGTGATGTGCAAAATGCTTCATCAAAACAAAAACAAAATTTTATAAAGATTGAAAAAATTAAATCAATACTCTTACTCGTTCATTAAAAAATTGTTTTTTTATCAGGGAGCATTTTTTATAAGTGCGATCACCTGATCACTCTTATAAATCTTGATGAAAAGTCTTTTAACAAGAAAACAACAGATGAAGTTATGTTTGTATCTAAACTTTTAATTTTAATACATCGGCGATACATTTGATATTCTAAAAAATAAAGTTATAAAACAAATGCTATCAATTTTGCTTTAAAAAAAAATCATTAACAAATATATATAAATTATTTTCCTTCAATGCATTATTTCTTTTGTATTTGTAGAAGCTTGTACTTAATGATAATTTTTAGTTATTTTTCAAAACATTTGAAACGATTAAGTGATAATATTTTTAAAGGACTTTTTTAAAGATGCTATTCTTAGGTATTAAGTTATTTTAAAGATGCTATTCTTAGGTATTCAGTTTATTTTCATGTCTATATCCATAAACAAAGAATCACAGATAACCAAACTATTATATATTGGAAAAAAAAGACTTTCAATCAACTTAAATTAAAGACAAAACAATCCAAAACAACTGGAAAATGATTGAAAATGGCATGGATTCAAGAAGTGTGGGAACGGATTAAATACAGATTTTGGCATCACCTAAAATATCATTTGTCATTGTAAAAAAATTAAAAAAAAAAATTGTTTTGCTTAGCTTCTAGAAAGACATAACTAATAAGCCCAAATCGCTCTCAATCTGGCTGTCGAAATTGACTAAAATGACATTGTAGGCCTGAAATAGAAATCTGAATGTTACACATTTCATTAAATCTGGATTGTGCAAATTATTTTTCATCCTATCAACCAATATAAAGTGTGCCATCGCTTCATATGATTTATTAAACTTATTTATGACTTGTATAGGTTTGGCTATTTTTCCATCTTAAACACTTTTTTTCGAAATTTTTTCAAATTTTTATATAAAGTTGCAAGTCTTTAACATAAGTTAGACACACCATTTACATTGTTTATATATAACAGTTTTGATGTAACATGTGATAATAACAAAATAAAATTTTGTTACAAAAAATCAAAAACTTATTTAATTTTTAGGAAATGTCTCCAGGAAGTGTGTTGATGGGGTTTGGCAAAAGGCTGACATTAAGAATTGTAAATCAGACAAAAGCTTTTCATTATCTGAAGTAGGTATTTCATATCTGTAAACCAGTTTTGTTTTAGTTTTACAAATGCTCTCATTTGTTAGTCTTGTATCTCAGCTACCAATTGTGATTTAAATCATATTTATAAAATCATATACTTTTAATTACATAATTAGTTAAATGTAACCATGACTAAACTTATGACTAAATTGGTTAACTGTAATTCAGTAGAATTTTATTTTTAAATTTTAAATGGAGTTTTCCTTTTTTTTTAAATAATAAAGTATTACAGTTTATTTTGTTCTAGGTTAAATCACTTATGGATATTTCAAAAGAGTCTGTGCGACTTTCTTCGTATGTTAAAGATAGTATACAGTTTGGTAGTGACCTTTCTGGTGTTATTGATGCTGTTGAATCTCTTGTGAAAAGTTCACAAAAGTTATCTCAACAACTCTCTAACTTCTCTGAGGTATTATAAACTTATCTTTAAAAAAAAAGTTATATATATTTTTTAAATTTCAAAATCCAAAGGCTGAAAGGTTGATACAGTTAAAAAGTTGTTATTTTTTTTAATGTTATTCTAACCCTCTTTCAACCAAACGACCCTAAAACAAGCAACTTGATGAACAAGGCCTATGAGAAGAATTAAGCTACCAGGAATCTAGTGGGTTGTAGGAATCTAGTGGGTTGTAGAATCTAGTGGGTTGTAGAATCTAGTGGATTTTAAACTCTGTGCCTTTTATCTAAACAAAGCTAGTGCTCTGCACATTTAACAAATTTTTTGTAGAAAATGTAAATATTAATTTTAATCATTTTTTTATACTTTGTTTTTAGACAAATGTTAAATTTATACAATTAATAAATTTTTAATAACATTTAATAATTTTTTTCCGGTTTTTGTAAATTCTCATATATACCTAAATATTTTATTTATTTAAAAAAGAAGTAATAATAATAATAATAATAATAAGGAAATAATAATAATAGTATTTATAATATAATTTAATAAAAATTTTTAGACTATGTTAAATATAACAAATCATTTATTGGGTAGAAACTCTACAATGTTTTGGAATGATTTACCTAAGGTTTGGTTTTAAGTTAGTTTGTTAAAACTTGATTTTGAAAAATTGATAATTTTTTTTTTTTTAATTTATTTAATAAATAATTTTAATAAATTACTGATTGTCTTTTTTAGGATAAGCAGTCTAAAGATGCAATAAAGTTGTTAAGGGCTACAGATGATGTTATTGAAACTGCATTTCAACTTAACAACCACACTTCAAAAGTAATTTCATCTGAAAATATGGGCAAGTTTCTTTGATTTTTTAAAATAATTTGTTTAAAATAATTTTTCAGTATTTATAATAAGCAAAGCCACTTGCTAGTGAAAAAGTTTTCACAGGAAAAATCATTTGAGTTGGCTATGAGGTGATAATAGGCTTTTTTTCTAAAAATATGTAGAAAATTCTGAAAGTTTTTAAATTTTTTTTTGTGATTTAAGTATATATGAAGCATGAAGTGGTCTGTCAGGCCATATGAATGCTCTGCATTGTTACTTCTGTGTATGGTTTATTCAGATCCTGTTGACCATTTGAATTAAATTTGCAGCACTTAAAGCAGCTATTTAAATTGATTTAAAATTAACTACATACTGCTTAGCAATCGAGACTAAATTTGTTTAAGTTGCTTAGAATACTAATTGCACATAATTAGAAAGAACTCAAAACCTCCATTATAATTTAAAAAAACAAACATGTTTTCTTGTCTAAACCCCAAATCCTTGTTCAGTGAGATTCTTATGATTTAAAAAAAAAAAAAAATTTAAGCTTAGGAAAATGTGTATTTTTATGTAAAATTAAATTTCAGGGTAAGTTCGCAATGGACAACTTTTTGATTAGAAAATGCCTTGATATTCAAGTTTTCACATTTAGACATTAAAATGAAATAAAATTTGTCTAAAATAAATGTAGCCCATTTTTATGTATTAGACTCTCATAAAGAGCACAGCACTGATTCAATTTTAAAATAGATTTTGACTTTAAAATAGATTTTGGCTCTCCACTCATTAAAATCTTTGTTAGATTGTAGACTGTTATTGTGTTATTTGTTGCTTGTTATTTAATTGAGTTTGTCTTAGCTTTCGACATAAATTATGTTGAAAGCTACGACGACTCACCAGAACTCTAGAGTTTATTGGACCTAGATTTTGTTCCTATTCAGCTGCCTACAAACAGAGCAGTTATTCAAAAAGAAATTTTATTGAAATAACAAAAGAATATACACCAAAATAAATATTCTAACAGAGAGCTAGCAATCTAGTTCCATTTGTTTTTGCTCAATAGAGAGAAGCAAGTGTTAAGTTTCAACAACCAGTTATTATTGGTTAGAAATCATTATATTGTCAAATAAAAACTCCTTGGGCGAAAGTAGAAAATGTTGCATGGGGAAGAACTAAGAAGAAGTTAGATAGACTTATGGACCTCACCACATGTCCTCAAACTTCTGTGAGAAAGATCTGTCTTGTTTACTTCCCTGACAAATTGCAAAAATAAAGCACATATAAATTGCACCTGTAATTTTACTAAAAAAGTTATGAACTATGGAGCTCAGATGGCTATACAATCAAAGAAATAAAGCAGGTGAAAAGTCTGACATGCAGAAGGATTAAGACAGGTAAAAATGTTCTGAAATGCAGAAGAAATAAGACAGGTAAAAAGTCTGACATGTAGAAGAAATAAGACAGATGAAAAAGTCTGACATGCAGAAGAAATAAGACAGATGAAAAAGTCTGACATGCAGAAGAAATAAGACAGATGAAAAAGTCTGACATGCAGAAGATCCTGATAACATTGAGACAATAAAATATATAAAAAATAAAAAGAGAAAAATCAGTGATGAAAAAGGCTACCAGAAAAGAGTTTAAAAGCTAAAGGATGAGCAGTTGTTTTTTAAGGTAAATATATATTTGTTTATATAGTATACTATCGTAACTATATAAATATATATATATATATATATATATATATATATATATATATATATATATATATATATATATATATATATATATATATATATATATATATATATATATACATATATATATATATATATATATATATATATATATATATATATATATATATATATATATATATATATATATATATATGTATATATATATATATATATATATATATATATATATATATATATATATATATATATATATATATAATATATATATATATATTAAATGAGTTGTTTTTGTGTCATCTAATAGAAGGAATTGATAGACCAACATATATAGTACTGGATTGGTAGGTTCTGTGGGAAAATTTCTTCCTGATATTAATAGGTATAAATGGAGTATAATCCTTAATTCAAGGCTCTACCAGACTGAGAGAGCTTTGTTGATGTTCCAGAAACAATACAAAATAATATTTCAACAGATCAAAAACAATCCTACAAGCTATTTAAAGCAGTTAAGATTGATGTGCTGCTACCTAATCTAAGGGAAATTCGATGTGACTTCTTAAGTCATGTCAGATGGCTCGCTACTGGCATGACAATAGTCTTTATGTGAACAAGGAAACTTGACTTGATTAAGCAGAGTTTAAAAAATCTAGTTACTTGTCTTATTCTGTTTACAACTTTACTTTAAACTTTTGATATAAAAGTATAAGATAAACTTTAAAATGCTCCCGATCACATTCTTTCTCAATTAAGAATTCTCAGAAATCAATCTGAGGGTAAAAGAAATTACCCTCAGATTGATTTGTGGCTACCTACATCCAGTTTAGGAGCTTGGTACGAAACCATAAAAGTATTTTAATCTCTTTGTTATCCAGTAATAATGGAAGACCGCAACTTTGAAGTTGACCATATTTTGAAACAAAGGCGTAATGATATCTTTGGAGATATGCGAATTCAACCAAGAAAAACACCGAACTTTGCAGCAACTGCTCTTCAAGAACTAGTTAAATGGAAAAACGAAGAAGTACAAGAACCTGTTTTTACTTGTTCGCTTACTAAAAAACTAAGAACCTGTTTTACTTACTAAACTGTTCGCTTACTAAAAAACGAAGAACCTGTTTTACTTACTAAACTGTTCGCTTACTAAAGATAACTTGTTAATGCTCAGATTTACACTTTTAATAACTCAAAAATTCCAAAGTACTCAAAATTCATATCCAAAGTACTGAACATGCTGTAAAACAAGTGACAGTAGCATCTAAAAAACTAACAAAAAACTACATAGAGATTTATAAAAATAAAATTCACAGAAAAAAGTATACAAGAAAGAAATTTTTAAACACAAAAGTAAATGAAAGAAAACTAGACTAATTTACGAGTGAATAAAAACTCTAAAAGTATGTATATAATTAGAGTCATTTCAGAATATATTACAGTTTTTAAAAATTTATATACTAAAACTACCTTAAACTGGTTCTTTATTTACCTATCACACAAACAGTCATTGCCCACTTCTATGTACATTTTAAAATATACACTTGTTTTATTTTTTCGTATTTTGACTTTGAAATATTTCAGTTTAAAAGAATTTAAAATTGACTTCACTGGAATAAAAACAAGAAAAGTACAGTTCATATAAGGTGAGTCTAAGTTTTGACATCTAAGTTTTCATCCTTTTGACTCAATTTTAAAAATTATCTAACCAAGGACAATTGTTTTTGAGTATTAGTAATATATAGTATTATGTTTTATTGGTAAACAGGAACAACTTGTTTTTATTAATTAATATTTTCCAGGATTCTTTTATAAAATTAATGTCTATTATTTTACAGATGTGAACACTTATTTTATATAACATCTACCTACCTATGATTAAAAAAAAATTTAAAAAGTGTTTTATAAAAAAGGTATAAAAAATGATTCCAAATTCCAACAAAAAAAAGTTAAAAGAACTTAAATTACTTTTTTATTTTGGTTGTTAGTTAGACCAGATACAAGAGATTAGTATGGTAGAGATTTAAGATACAAGAGATTAGTATGTTAGAGATTTAAGTTACAAGAGATTAGTATGTTAGAGATTAGTATATAAGAGATTAGTATGTTACAAGAGTATGTTAGAGCTAAAGCTCTATATAAAGAGTTGTTACCTGTGTTTAACCCTTTGACAACGGAAAAGCCACGATCGTGGCTTTTCCGTTGAAGTGTAACGGGCCACGATCATGGCTTATTAAATAATGACATTTGTTGAAAAAAATTTTTGCTTTTCTAAATGTCATTCATTATTTATACAATGAGGGCTTAAATTTTTTTGTGTATAAATTTTGTAGATGTTATAAAATAAAAAATGGCATACAAATCTCAAAATTGTTTTTTTTTTCCATTTTAGGTTTTTTTAGTTGAATTTTTCTAAAAATCTTTAATTTTATCAAGCAGCCAAAGGGTTAAAACAAAGAAAAATTTTTTGTTAAGCTTTTAATGGCAATAGACTTTTATTTTTTTAAAAAAGTGTTTTAATAGTGTTATCAAAATATCATTAGGGTAAGATACGGAATAGGGATATCTTTAATGCTCCCCCTGAAAATTAAAAAATCTGCACTGCAGATGGGTCATTCCATGTAAAACTGGGACAGTCATTTCAGTCACCCCTTGGATTTTCTTAAAATTTTTACCAGTGGTAACTATTAAGGAAACATGAAAAAATGCAAAATTTGAGCTCATAAATCCAAACGGTTCAAAAGTTATGATGTTTTGAAATTTAGCCTAAAACGTTCCTTTTTTTAGGAAGTCCGCCATTATGGATTTTGTAGTTGTACTTTTAATTAAATAATTTAAGATCTAGTGGAAGAATGTGGCTGAAAATCAGTACCTGACCATTTTTGAGGGTGCTGAATTCAAAAATGTAGATAAAATAGTAAAATTTAAATTTTTTGATAGTTATTTTTTCATTTTAAAATGGCCAGTCAAATTTTTTGTTTTGTAACCATGGGTTGCGCTTTCATTAATTCCCGAAGTTGCCCAAGTCGATTTTTTTTTCAAATGAAGTAGGTGATCCTAGGCTATCTTTATAAAAAAATGGTTTTGGGTTCTTAAAGCATAGAAAAGTTATTTCATTTTGAAATTTAGACAAAAAATTTCTTTATTTGGCATCTATTCTCTATTATAGATTTTATAGCGATACTTATTGTGTGAATAATTTAAGATCTAGTAGAGAAATATGACTGCAAATTGGTATCTGACCATTTTTAAAATTAACCCAATTCTTAATATTTAATAATAATTTTTGAATTTTATTATGTCAACAGTCCTTTTTTTTTCTTTTAACCATAGTTTG